TCAGGATGGAATCTAAACATATTTTATGAAGTGGTGTATATTAATATCCTACTTCTCATCATGAACACTGAGTACAGATGTGCTTTGTAGTCCACGAGCAGGGTAACCTTGAGTTAACCATGAACAAAACCTGCTCGGAGCAGTTTAGAGATGCAGCATAAATTGCCATGGCAACAGACCTCGGGTAATACCTTTCATAGTATGGGTTAAGTTACTACCCGACATCACGAAGTCACTCCTGAAGTTACCTGGATAAGCCAGTTACCCCGCTTCGTAGTACAGGCCACAGGAATCGACAGACATTTCTCATGAAATTAGGGCCACTTTGGTGGACGATGTCATCCATCATGGCCTGACAATGAGGGAGGCTGGGCAGAGAGTACATCCCCACCCTAAGTTGCTACACGGCATAATACAGACATTTAGACAGGTGTCATCAACTTTCTACACTGCACAGACTGTACAGTACCTGTAATTGTTGCACGCCATTGTGCATTACTCTACAATATGGTAAATGGTCTGTACTTCAAAAATGCCTTTATAGTCTTTCCGACCACTCATAGCGCTTTTCTGACTGGGGGCACCGAGGATCAGGGACCTAGTCTTGTCTCGTGAGCTAAATGTGTTGTCAAACCCCTATTTACAGACAGTCCTGGGGTCTCATTTATAAAACTGTACATAGAAAAGACTCCTAAAGTTTGCGTACGTTCAAAATACAGAAAGTGCATTCACACAAACATATTCTGATTTATAAAACAGTGTGCCCACACATCCTATGCCGATTTCCCTTTATAAATCACAATCAACTTGAAATGTGGCGTATGTGAGCAAGTTTCTTGATGACCCTTTAAACGCCTATAGTTGCTTATAAATGGTCAAGGAAACGCCCTTCATTAATATTAATGCCTACTTTCAGATAGAAAAGCTACAAAAATAAATTTAACCCAGTGTGACACTGACATTCGTTTTGGTGAAGCTGAAGCATGTTGTTTGGTGGGTAAAAAACGTACTTTCACGCAACGCTTGCACCAGAGGAAAGGGGGCACCGGAGCTCCACCCCTTATAACGGATCTGCAGGAAGGGGATCTCTCCTGAGAAATGACGTGGTGGATGAACAGTGATATATTTTTCCATACCGTGTTTTTGGCATCACATCCACACAGCGTACAGCATTTGGCCCAAATACCGTGAGGCAATGAACATGTGATAACAATATGTGAAACTATTCACTTGTATTTGCTTGACTGAGGAAACAAAAACGGCATATATTTAAATGTAATTTGTCCTCCTGCCTCTCCGGCAACCATCACCTTATCGTAGTGGAGAGGTTTGCGTGCCCCGGTGAGCCTGGAGGCTGTGTTGTCTGGAGCCTAGTGCTCCTGGTAGGGTCTCCCAAGGCAAAGTGGTTCCAGGTGAGGGGCCAGACTGAGAATGGTTCAAAAAGATGCCTGATGAAAAACTGAGGAAGAGGAGGAGAGACCCTGCCTGGAGGAAGCCTGGGGCCCCCGTCTGGAGCCAGGCCAGAGGGAGGGCACGCCAGCGAGCACCTGGTGGCCAGGTTTGCCACAGAGCCTGGCCGGGCACAGCCTGAAAAAGCAACATGGCACCCCCCACTCCATCATTTGAACCCACTATCCATAGGAAGATCCACAGGGGTCGGGTGCGCTGCCACATGGGTGGCCGTGAAGGTCTGGGGCCTCGACGGACCAGACCTGGGAGGCAGAGGCTGGCTCTGGGGACGTGGAACGTCACCTCTCTGTGGGGAAAGGAGCTGGAACTTGTGCGTGAGATGGAGCGCTACCAGTTAGATCTGGTGGGGCTAACCTCCACGCACAGTCTCGGTTCTGGAACCGTACTCCTTTATAGGGGATGGACCCTATTCTTCTATGGATTTGCTCAGGGTGTGAGGCACCGGGCGGGTGTGGGGATACTCACAAGCCCCCGGCTGAGCACCGCTACGTTGAAGTTCACTCCGGTGCACAAGAGGGTCGCCTCCCTATGCCTTGGGGTAGTGGATATGTACATATAGCAGTTCAGTATTCTGCCTTCTTGGAGACCCTGACTGGAGTTTTGTATGGGGCTCCAGTAGGGGACTCCATAGTTCTGCTGGGAGACTTCAACGCGCATGTGGGCAATGATGGAGATACCTGGAAAGGCGTGATTGGGAAGAAGGGCCCCCTGTTCTAAACCCGAGTGGGTGTTTGTTGTTAGACTTCTGTGCCATTCATGGATTGTCTACAACATGTTCGAACATAAGGATGCTCATAAGTGTACGTGGTACCAGAGCGCCCAAGGCCGTAGATCGATTTTGTAATCGTTTCATCTGATTTGAGTCCGCATGATATGGACATTCGGGTGTAGAGAGGGGTGGAGCTGTGAACTGATCACCATCTGGTGGTGAGTTGGGTCAGGGGGTGGGGGAAGACTCTGGACAGACCCGGTAAGCCCAAACGGGTAGTGTGGGTGAACTGGGAATGTCTGGAGAAGGCCCCTGTCTGTGAGATCTTCATCTTTAAAGCTTCTACTGCTAAAGCCACAGTGGGAAGTTGTGGTCTCAAGGTCTTAGGTGCCTCAAGGGGCGGTAACCCTCGAACACTGTGGTGGACACTGGTGGTCAGGGAAGCCGTCTGACTGAAGAAGGAGGCCTTCCGGGATTTGTTGCTGTGGAGTACCACGGAGGCGGTTGCAAGGTACCAACAGGCCCGAAGAGCTGCAGCCTCTGCTGTGGCAGATGCAAAGCAGCAGGTGTGGGAGAAGTTCAGAGAAGACATGGTGAAGGACTTTCGGTTGGCACCAAAGTGCTTCTGGAGAACTGTCCACTACCTCAGGAGGGGGAAGCGGGGAACTGTCCAAGCTGTGTACAGTAAGGATAGGACTCTGTTGACCTCAACTGACTGACACGCCCTCTCTAGTAGAGGCAGAGCTGGAGGCTAATTTTCGCGTCAATTTCCCTGGTGGAAGTCACTGAGGTAGTCAAACAACTCCACAGTGGTAAAGCCCCAGGGATTGATGAGCTCCGCCCAGAAATGCTAAAAGCTTTGGGTGTGGAGGGGCTGTCTTGGATAACACGTCTCTTTAACATTGCATGGAAGTCGGGTACAGTGCCCAAGCAGTGGCAGACTGGGGTGGTGGTTCCCCTGTTCAAAAAGGAGGACCAGAGAGTGTGTGCCAATTTCAGGGGCATCACACCTCCCCGGTAAAGTCTACTCCAAGGTGCTAGAACGGAGGGTTCGGCTGATAGTTGAACCTCACATCGAAGAGGAACAATGCAGTTTTCGTCCTGGTCGTGGAACAACGGACCAGCTCTATACTCTCTCAGGGATCCTGGAGTGGGCTTGGGAGTATGCCCATCCAGTCTACTTGTGCTTTGTAGATCTGGAGAAGGCGTATGACCGGGTCCCCCGGGAAATACTGTGGGAGATGCTGTGGGAGTATGGGGTGAGGTGGGCCCTTCTCAGGGCAATCCAATCCCTGTACATCCAAAGCGAGAGCTGTGTCCGAGTATTCGGACTCTTTCCAGGTGGGGGTTGGCCTTTGCCAGGGCTGCGCTTGGTCACTGTTGTGAGATTGCGTGGTGTGTGGACAGAGAGGACCCAAATGCAGCACTCTGAGGGAAGGAGGTTTATTGAGGGAAAAAGGGTGAGAGGGACTGGAGTGGAGGGAGAGGAGGACGTCGGGGAAGCACAGGCACGGGGAACCAAGGAGACAGGGGGCCAGGGAGCCGGGCAACACAGGGGCCGAGGAAGCGAGGAGAGGCGGGGGAACAGGGAGGACGCCGTGAGGGAAGTCCGAGGAGGAATGGGCCAGTGGATGAGCCCAGACGAACGGAGGACGAGGGTGAGTGTGCCTGGGAGGGAAACAGACAGAGAGACAAGGTTAGGGAAGATAGCGACAAGGCACAGGGTAAATGTGAAAAAACAAGAAACATGGAAGCCTGAACGTGGGGGTGGCACCGGGTATGGAGCAACGACGATGAAGCGAGGATGGTGTGGAGAACCGGGGTTGAAATACAGGCTGGGATGAGGTTGACTACTGGCAGGTGTGGCAGGCTGACGAGGTGGCTGATGAGATGCAGGTGCAGGTAGTTGGCTGGGCTCAGGAGCAGAGGGAGAGAGAGCACACACAGGGTAGAAAACACAGGGAGGCAGGCAGGGAACAGAAAACCAAGGAAAAAAGCAGAAAAACTGATAAAAAGGAGAAAAAACCAGGACACTCACCGTCAGCCGGGCTGCCACCACAACAGTCACCAGTCCTGTTTGTGATATTCATGGACAGGATATCAAGGCGTAGTCGTGGTGAGGAGGGGTTGCAGTTCGGTTCACCCAGCTCTACATCAGCACCGGAGGACCGCATAGTCTCTCGTCAAGATTGTTTTTTTTATAGATCACAACCTTTGCATGGGAAGTTGCGTACACACGTTTCCAGCCCTGTTGTGTACGTACGAACCGTTTATAAATGAGGCAATGGATGCAACAGCACAGCCTCTTAAGTTCATCAATGAAGCTGGATTCAAGCTAGCTAAAACCAGATGTCGGAGCTAAAATACAATAGGACAGAGAGCCATTGTGATGTCCCAAGGCAGCGTAGAGGAAATTTCACTGTGTGCGGCCATTTGTCTACAGCTCCATGTCACCCTAGATCCCTACAATTTTGCAAACCAGGAGCAATTGTAGACCATTTTTAGGGGTGCTGAAGTAAATTTAATCTAAGCACCCCTAAAACATATTACAATCATTTATTATTTTCTTAAAAAAAAAAAATATATATATATATATATATATATATATTTTTTTTTTTTTGTCCTAACGTTAGATTTTGGAAAAGTAAGAGAAGAACAACTAATTACCCTACAGTTTCATATGTCTTTTCTTACATTAAACGAGTTTAATGTCCCTAAATACTGCCATTCTTCAGTTTCTAATGTTTTATAATGATCCGCGATCACGCTGGCCAACTAATCAGTGTAACGGTGGGAGACAGAACGGACCCAAACGCAACGCTGAGGGTTAGAAAAAGAGGTTTATTGAGGAGAAGGGGGTTCGAGGCGAGGGCGGGTGGAAGGAGGGGGAGAGGCTGACAAGGACACGGGGAACCGAGAAGCTGGAGGAACGGAGGGCACTTAGGCTGGAGGCTTGAGGGAGGCTGGCAGACGGATAGGAGAGGGCGCGGAGACTGGGGGTCCAGGCGGGGTGCGAGAGGGGAAGCCGGAGGGCGTCGTGGAGGCAGGCGAGCGAGCCCGGCTGGCCGAGCTGGGAGGCAGAGGTGAGTGAACCTGGAAGGGGGAAACAGAGAGACAGGGTTAGTAGGCAATGGGGACGTGAAGCAAGAGGGAATTTTAGAAAGAGCCAGAACGAAGCGGCGACACCAGGTCTGGAGCTGCGAGGAAGGTGTGGAAAGCCGGGGTAGATATACTGGTTGTGATGAGGCTGATGGCTGGCAGGTGCGGCGGCTGGGGATGGAGGTTAACGAGGTGCAGGTGTGGGTAGCCAGCCGGGCTCCGGAGCAGGGAGGGAGAGAGCACACACAGAGAGAGAGAGAGAGGGCACAGGAGAAACCAGAAAGTGAGGGAAAGGAGAAACAGGACACTCACCAACAGCCGGGCTGCCACCGCGACAATCAGCTTATTTTCAATATTGATGGGGGATACGAGTGGCAACTCCCAACTTGGACTGGTCCTCGTTTTTGCTGAATTCTGATTAGCCGATCAAAGGCGACTACTTTGCACATGGGGCGAGTTCAATCCAACAGTTTGCACCAGTTTGCTACGTATTTTCGGGGCTGACCTCAGCCAGGTTTTGTGACAACAGAGAAGGGGGCAAAAGAACGTCTACCTCCCTCATTCTCCATTCATCCTTTCACTGTACTTCACTTCTGCTTGTTGGTTGACAGCTGACTTGAATAACATCAGGTTCAGTGCAGCTGACCTGCCGCTCATTCATGCCAAGGATGGTGCATTCAGTAACTCAGTACTGCAGCGTTACTTGGATTAGTATCTGTAATAACATTAGTGTTCTGGAAATAGTTATCTGTTACACTACTAGTTACTTGGAAAATGAGTAAATGTAAAATGAGAAAATGAGTACAGTTCCTGCCCAACACTGCTAACAGTAGGTCTAGCTATGAAATTAGTTTTAATTTAATGTTAGAATATTATACTAATAGAAATACTATAATTACTATAATATACTTCACAGATTCCGTGCAACCAAATAAATATTTTTTAACAATTAAATAATACTAAAAAATTAAACTCAATCAGCAACAGAAAACTACTTCCATAAAAGAGAAAGCAAGTATATAACAAGATTCACCTGAAAACACAAGACTGAACCCTTAAATTAGTAAACTCTTTTAACACCCTCCCTCCTCTGAGGGAGTAAACACGAGCACACAGCTCCACACTGCTGTCTGACTCTAACTGGTCCACTGACCCTGTAGAGGTCATTTACACTTGGGGACATGTCTCCACCACATTTTGAAATGGCGGATTTTGTCCCCGTCACTTTTTGAAAGCATTTGTTAAAAATGTTCTGAAAAACAGATTGCACCAAGAAATGTTAACTAACAAATGAAAATGCTTTGCGAAAGGTTGATTTGTACAATAAGAAAACATGCAATGCAATATAGTTTTCCCTCCTATAAAAAAAGACATTTCCACCATAAATTGGAGCAGAAAATGTCTCCAGAATGCAGGAAATTACCAGTTAAATGCTCAAATTTTGAGGGGGGGGGCGACTCCCAGACCCCTACACATAAATTCCTGCATCACTTTTTAATAAAAGTAGTGTTTCTTGTCTTGTTCTCGTGCATCGTAACGTCTCATGACCCAAATCTATCATCAGGCCCCTGATCTGAGCCCTTATGTCCCCGTCACTTTTCAACACAAGTAGGCCTACTTATTCTCCCCACCAATTAGTGACTTTTGCAAGGCATTGTATGCATGCTACATTCTCATTAGGGGCTGAGCACCCCTAAAGTTCTGGGCCCCGTTTCAGAAAGCGGGATTAGTATATAGACATACATACATACGTACATAGAGTATGTTAAGCCTGAGATGAGGGAAACTCTGAGTTTTCCATTTCAGAGAGCAAGATCAGATAATCCCTAGATCAGTAACTCCGGCAACTGATGCAGCATAAGTTGGAAAACCATCAGTTTCTCTCTAGCTCCTCCCCTCCTTTTCATCCTGTCGATATCAAAGCACATATTTGAACGCATTTACATCTTAAAAAACTTTAAAATCCCAGATAGATAGGCTATTAGTTTTTTACCCAAACATGATCTTGAACACGACCGCTTTTACGATCAATCTGTCATCGATGTATGGACAGATCTTCGCACATTGTGGATTTATCCTCATCCCAGAGTAAAATCTATGTCCGTCTTTAGGTATAACGCTGCAACTCTGTGGACAGTTGCACTGAAAATACGGAATGTGGGCTACATTACTACAATAATCACTGTTTAATATGTAGGCTAACTTATAAAACTGATCAATGAACAGTAATCTTTCATATTGTAGTCGCACTGATTGGAACATTCGTAGTTATCATGTGTTTTGACAGCATTAATAAAATACGAAATGAGCAAGATTTTATTAATGTAAAATAGACGTCTAAAACTTACCTACAGACACATTTTCCACCGCAAAAAATAATTAATAGGCTAACCTGCTGGGTGTGATTGTGACTTTACAATCACAGGTCTTAAATGTGATTTATAGCCTACCTATTTTCATAATCAGGTAGCCGATTGCCACCAGCATTGTATCCCGTTGGGTTACAGCTTAATAAATATAGCCATCCTATTTAAAATCGAAGGTAATGGGCTGTAGCACTTTATCATTCATTAAGGAAATTCCAGTCTGGTAAATGATGAATGAGCAACGCTGTGTAGTAGCCTAATAATGTTAACGCATTGATTCTTCCACTCCAGCGTTTGAGAGCCGATCAGGGTCCACGTTTGTACGCATTCATATTTCTAACTCCACCCGATTAAAATGGAGGCTCTGCCTTTATTTACCCGTTGCCATGGTGAATCGTAGTATCGGAGCTCCGTTGATGATGGCTTTTTTTCATCCCCGCGCACGCGCTTCAATCAGGCTCAACACACTCAGAGTTGATTGAACTTATTCTGATCAGCTGTTCTGGAACTGAAAATTCCGAGTTTCCCACCTCAGGCTCAATCAACCCAGAAAGCTCAGAGTTTGTTAAGCCTGCTTTCTGAAACAGAGCTCTGAACTTTTTGGAATCCCTACATAATGCAGCTACACAGAGCAGACCAGGTTTGGGAAATGTGGATGAGGTGATGTGGCCAGACCCTAAGGTGTGATCCATAAAACTATCCACCCCACTGTTTTGTTTAAGAGTCCACTATAATTTCACTATATTTTTTTGTTGCTGTGAGTTTACAAAAACATGTTGTATCCTGTAATTCTACTTCTGTTTGTTAACAATCCTGAAGCCTCTCTCTTTTTGTGTTTATTGAAATGTCTATCAGCATTTGGGTCGGGCTGACAGATTTGAGCCCAAATGCAAGACATGAAACAGTTCAGTTGGCAACATTTATTCTCACTCACGGAAACTTAAGGCCTACACGAGTGGTGTAGGTGACATCCACAAAGCAGAATCTGCCACAGACAGCATATTCCAAAAACCAACAGAGACATACACAAGGGAACAGAACACTTGACTGACAATGATGACCGGACACAGATCAACAGAACAGACAGCCATTTATACATGGACAAATGAGCAGGGCAGGAGCACAACAGGTGACAAGGATCAGAGCAATCAAACCAAGGCAAACAGGCAGACAGAAACCAAGCATGAATCAAACACCCCACACAGGCCATTTCAAAATAAGACAGGGGAACAGACTAAACACACAGATACACAGACCAGGATGTATGAAACATAACCGGTGACAACTGAGTGATTGCTGGCACCACAGTAGGAGATATGGCTTGGAGGAGTACCTGGTTGTTGAAAAGATGGAGGACCAGTTTCAAGTAGGAAACACGTAGCTACTGCTCACCAGATAGGCATCTGTAAACTCCATGACAGGAGTCAATGCCTTGTTCATGGACTCCAGGACATCCAAGTCACCCCAAGTTAGGACAAGATGACACGTTTTCAGGTCGGCACCTGTGAGGGAGCTTTCTCCTGCACTGAGCCCCACCTGGTAGGCATGGCTGTGATCAGCTGATGAGCAGGCAAGCCCAGTTCTACTTAAGCCTTGGCCAATTCAAGTCTTCTCTTCCATGAATTAGAGAAGGCATTCACCAACTTAATGCAGACACCAACAGTTCGATGCTCTTTGGGTAGTTTCCCACCTCTCTGTGTAAATAAGGAGAAGATAAATGTAATATAGACAAGTCCAGAGGAGAGGAGTAACAAATATAAATGAAAACCGGGCCAAAAGAAACTGTGCAACTAAATTAAAGATTTCTATTACAGAAAGCGACTACGCCATTGACCAAAACACACAGGTTTAAAGTCAACGGCACAGCATTCCACTGTTTTCTATCAAATAGGAAGTTTTGCCTCAGGGGTCGGTCTTAGGACCCATTTTGTTTTCCTTGTTTCTGCTTCCCCTTGGACATATTATCCATAAACAAGGTATTTCTTTTTATATTTATGTTGATGACACACAAATGTACTTGCCCGTCAGATCCACAGATAATGGAATGCTGAGGTCATTTAACAACTGCCTTTGTGAAGTTAAAAAACGGATGTCAAATAATTTCCTCCAACTGAACTCAGACAAAACAGAAATCCTGGTCATCGGGTAAATCTGAGTAAATCCCATTAAGCCTGTTCAATCATGTTTTTATCAACTTAGAAATATAGCAAAAATTCGATCTATGTTAACTTTTAAGGACACCGAGACCATTTTACACGCCTTCATCTCATCACGCCTGGATTATTGCAACAGCCTTTTCACCTGTTTAACCCAAAAATCTACTGATTGACTCCAGAATGTCCAGAACTCAGCTGCCAGGCTTTTAACCAGAACAAAGAAATATGACCACATTACCCCTGTTTTAGCTTCATTACACTGGCTCCCAGTGTGTTTTAGAATTGACTTTAAAATTTTATTGATCACTTTTAAAGCTCTTCATGGCCTCTTGCCTTGTTATATTTCTGACCTTTTAGTCCCATACGCACCAGCACGTACCTTGAGATCCTCGGGCAGAGGTCTGTTGTCTGTTCCAGAGTCTCGACTGAAAACTAAAGGGGACAGAGCGTTTGCTGTCAGGGCCCTGAGGCTCTGGAACAGCCTGCCCGAGGAAATCAGGTCGGCTGAGTCAGTGAATTCTTTTAAGTCCCTTCTTAAAACATACTTTTATAGGAGAGCCTTTCCCGATCTAATTTGATTATTTTGATTATTTTATCCCTTTTATTTTATTCTATTTTACTTATTTTATATTTATCTTAAACATGTATTTTGGTCTTTACAAAGAAAGATTATTATTATTATTATTTCTGTTTTTTAGGGGCACATTACTCCGGTGGTAAAATGCTATAAAGAGAGACGCAGTGCACATTTACGCACAAGGCACAACATTGTAACTTAATTGATTATTAAAATCTCCTGACATGCCGACAGGATC